AAATCAGAAACCCTAAATTAGGGGTACTCAACTTTTTCTTCTGGTGGGCAGCATATATGTGTCAGCTATTTCACGAGGGCCGCAACATTAGGATAAACGGAGGGGGGAATGCTTTAAAACCAAGATAACATTAGAAACATTAGAAAATTGTGTGTCATTTGCTCTTTTTAATTATTATTTTTTTGTTTTTTATATTTTTGTCATTAAAACACTCCCTCACAATTTCTGCATCAGTAAACGCGGTTTCATATGATTACCAATAATATAACAAACTTCATACAATGTCTTTGTCACCGCTGTCATATTAACCACTGCCTAAACACTTTGTTGCTATTGCTAAGATTATTCATGAAAGCCTATATATTTATCACCACTTGAAAGAGATCTTCGAGGAAAAGTGTTAGTGAATGATTCCTGTTTATTGGTATTTTTTACATACAGCCCTTTCGTGACAATCAATTACTGATCCATGTTTGTTTTTCACTACTAAATAGTCAACCTCCCAATCATCTTGAAACAATATATTTTCTTCGAATATTTTTCGATTGCAAGATATGAAATATAGTTAAAAATTAATTCCACCCATAAAATTGTCGCTACTCTGTTGTTTGTTATCTCTAACCGTAACCGTTCCAAATAGAAAAATAATATCAATTCGTACCCGTACGACAGCGACAGCAAAATCAAAATTGATATATTTCATTTCTTGACCAAGAATTTCCCGCCAAATTTTTAATACAATGTTTACAATTTTAATACAATGTTACAAGTAGGTAAATTTCTCAGAACAATGGCCATGATCGGGCCACTTAAATGGCTCGGTGGGCCGCAGCTTGAGTATCGCTGCCCTAAATGAAACTGCCTCTATTTTATTTAACTCATAGTTTTTATTTTTTTATAATGAATGCACTCATTAAAGAAAAAGAAAAAAAAGAAAGGAAGAAAGGTGTGGCCTTTCGCTATCTTCCACTCCCACAATGGGGCTCTCGGGTTAAAAGAAGTTACCCTCAGGCATAAAATATTTGCTGATTTCGAGATAATCCAATTGTGTGAAAGTTAGAGGAGCAAAGCATTTGTAATAAAACTATTTTCATCATTTGAATGTAGTTCAAAAACACGAGAAATATTCTTCGTAAAATTCTTTTTCGATCATAACGTCAAATAAATATATATATATATATATAAATAATATAAAAAATATTTTAAGTCAATTCCTACTTAGATCACAATAGAAAAATTTTATTTTAGCTACTTTTTATTAAATAGTTACAATTAATATAAATATGTATATACATATGACAGAATCACGACATTAAGTGGTAATTAATTTTAGTAATTATCATTAAAATAAAGTATTGTCATCCCAAACAATCGTGTGTATAAAATTTCAGTTCAAATGAATGCTTTAATGTGAGGAAAAAAAATCTTGTAAAGATTTGACCCAAGTCGCTAAAAATGAAGCCAACGTAGCTGCATCCATAATTCTTTAAATAATTAGTTTCAGTCAATTAATTTAAATTAATTATTATTAAATTATCGTATTTTTACCCAAAACAATAGTGTATAGAAAATTTCAGTGAGAAAAAAAAATGTGAGAAAAAAAAACCTTTTCAAGTTTTGACACAAGTTACCAAAATGGTCGCAAAGTCGCCAAAAATGATGCCAACGTGGCTGTATTTGTTATTCTTTGAATAATTAGTTTTAATGAATTAATTTTTACTCATTATAATTAAATTACTGTATTGTCATCCAAAATAATCTTATATTTTAAATTTCAGCTCAATTGAGCGCTTTAAAATGTATTTTATTAACGATGGAAAATTCCACCAAGATAAATATTAAGAGAGTGTAAATAGTAGAAATTGAAAAAGAAAAAAAATTATACGAAGAGAGAGAGCAATAGAGCATAGTTCTTTCCGTTTTGAAAGTGTTCTGAGTAATTTGATGTTGCCAATATAATATTGTTTTAGCTAGAAACCAGTAGAAGATCGGCTTAAATATCATTACTTTAGTTTTTCATTTGATGAGTATGCATAAAATTACCTTCTAACTAATCATCGAACGAACAAACGATTTAAGAAACAAAGCAAGTTTCGAATGTTTGAAGAAAATATTCTTCCAAAAGTAGATGCTTTCTGTGTTTTGAAAAAGTTTTCGTATTCTGTTAAATAATTTGTGAATGATATGTATTATTTATTTTGTGTAAATTGCAAGTGAATGGGTGTGTATTTTATTGTGTAGCTAGTTTAGTTTTCAATTCACGGAAGTGAGCACATACCTACTGAATAATATTGTATATTCTAAAAGGGAAGTATGAGGCAAAACACTATTTTTTTTTGTTAAGTTATAAAAATTAAAATACACTGAGTTTGCTTTTATTTTGTACTAGCCTTTAAGTGTCGTTTAGATGTCATTATCACGTGGAATTCGAATAATGGAACAATGGAGATGAAACAAATTGTACAAAAACCTATTAAAAACCACGTAATAAATTTATCTGACTTTAAAAGATAAAACTTCATCTTTTCGTCTCTCTTCTTTTTTATTAACTCACTGCATTTTTAATGGAAAAAAAAAGAGTTAATTTTTATTCTGCAGCAGTTATTTTCATGTAAAATAAATAAAAATATCCCGCTTTTGTTCTTATAGTCACACACCATAAATATTTTGTACTTTTTATTAAATAATGCAAAAAAGGAGTGGCGACACTGGAGGATTTGGGGTTCAACCACTCCCATAAACCAACAAATTTTTAATCTTAAAGTGGAAAATACTCAGTGGCATAACTGAGAATATTAGGATCCCCCTGCAAAGCCAGGTACTTGGTACTCAGGTTCTCAAATACGTACCAGGCTCTAGAATCCCTAGAATCCTGCCCTCCCCGCGATGCGGGTATTGCGGAGTGTACGTTACGCCCCTGAGAATACCCCTCTGAGTTTTCGTCTATGAATTTTTTAATTCCTACTATTAGTTCACTCTCTCCCTATGTATACAGTGGTGGCCAAAATTGTGGACACTTTTTAAAATTGTTATATTTTTTAAGTTTGTATGCCTATAGAAAATTTTACGTTGAACAATATGAAAAGTATTTTCTATCATTTTAAAGGTAATTCAATACTGAATTCAATACAAAAAGCAAATTTCAAATAATTGCAACGCAAAAAAAAGTTATGATGCAAAAACTGTCGATATACATTAGATACTGATGATGGCAGCGAGTTATCAAAGCTTAGTGAGGCTGCCTTTATTCTTTATTACAGCTTCACATCGATGTTTCATTGAGCTGAAAATAGTTTTAAGCTTTTCCTTCATTATTGCATGATGCCAGGAAACACAATTATATCCTCAATTAGTTCATTTTTATTTTATGGGTACCTCATTCGGACAAGAGTTTTCAAACAATGCTATAAGTTTTCAATAGGATTGAGGTCAGGACTATTTCCTGGTCACGATAACAATGATATTTAGTCAAAATGCAATGACATCAAATAAAAGAGTATATTGGACACATATGTGAGGGAAAAGTGGTGTTTCCTATGTTAAAATTACAAAACTAGAGGGTAGTTAAGTGACTACATCTGGAGATGGAAAGTTTTGTTTAAGATGGCAGGAGACAAATTTAATAAAAAAAAGGCAGGAAAAGGCTGAAAAAGGTGCACCATATCTGTTGATGACAGAACAAAAATACTATGTTTTAAAGATAAAAGAATTTCATGGACAGCCATGGAGAAGTGATCTGAGTGATGCTGGTTTTTTTTGTTTGTTGAAAAACCACCAGGAGTATATTAACAGATGTAAGATTAAAAGGTAGAATTCCACGAAAAAAGCCCTATCAAAATTTTCAGCAGCGCTAAAAGAGATTGCAGTGGGCAATGGAACATATTAATTGGACAAATGATTATTGGTCACAAGTTACATAAAGGTACGAAACTAAAATATCGCTATTCGGTAGTGATAGCCTTAAATATGTAAGACAAAGAATAGCAGAACTGCTACATCCTGACTGCATCCAGGTAACTGTAAAGTACCCACATAGTTTAATTATTTAGTCATACATATCACCAGATGGTATTGGTCACCTTCATATCATCAATGGGACACTGAATGTCATAAAATACATTGACATCATTCTAGAACCCAAACTTCTGCTTTTCATCAGGGACAAACTAACAACAACGCTTCATTTATTTTTCAGCAAGATTCTGCTCTTTGCCACACAGTAAAGTAATTGAAAGACTGGTATCGTTCAAAGATCATTGAGTTGTTGTCGTGGCCAGGAAACAGTCTTGACCTCGATCCTATCGAACACTTGTGGCACCGTTCGAAAACTCTTGTACTGATGAAATACCCATGAAATAAAAAGGAGCTAATTGAGGATATAATTGTTTAATGGCATCAAGTAATAACAAAAGAAGAGCTTAAAACTATTTTCAGCTCAGTGAAACATCGATGTGAAGCTGTAATAAACAATAAAGTCAAACTCACTCAACTCTGATAACTCACTGCTATCATCAGTATCTAATGTATATCAACAGTTATTGCATCATAACTTTCTTTGGGTTGCAAATATTTTTATTTTAATTTTTTTTGAATTCCCTTTAAAATGATATAAAATACATTGCATTTTGTGCAACGTAAAATTTTCTACAAGCATACAAACTTAAAAAAACACAAAAATTTTAAAAAGTGTCCACAATTTTGGCCACCACTGTATAATATATATATATATATATATATATATATATATAATATATATATATATATATATATATATATATATATATATCTTGTTCAAAAAAATTTTCAATCTCATTCATAAAATACCTTCTATTCTACCATTCAGATTCAAATACAATTTTTTATACTTGTAGTGGATAACACTTGATGTTAACACAGTTTTTCAAATATTAGTTCATTAATTAAATTAAAGAATGAATAAATAGTAACAAACAAAAAATAATAGTACAAAAGCATACATAGAAAGGAAAATCGTTCGGTGTATCCCTGAAGCGCAATGGACAGCGCGTTGGACTTCTACTCCAAAGGACGTGGGTTTGAAACCCACCTGTGATGGCCTAATTTCTGAGAAAATGCGTTTTTTTGCTATACAATTTAATTAATGAATAAATAGTTACAAACAAAAATAATGGTCCAACACCCTATATAGAAAGGAAAATGAAAAATTGCATGGAAAATAGCTTTCTATTTTGTCACTTAATATTGTGATTCTGTCATATGTATATGCATATTTATATTAATTGTAACTATTTAATAAAATGTAACTAAAATAAAATTTTTCTTTGTTGACCTAAGTAGGAATTGACTTAATTTTTTTTTATATTACTCGCGTTTAGTATGTAACTCCCCCCCCATGAGATAGATCTGTGTACATGCTGCAAAAAAGCATGCATGAAATATTATATTTAGAATAGTTTTCTTAAAATTTTTTGAAGATTAATATAAAATGAGGGCATTTCTTCCCACTAAGGTATAAATTCAGATTTAATTTTTGAATAGAAGTTGTTGATCTTGTTTGCAAGAAAGTAATCAAGTATTGAAAAGAAAAGAACCTATCCTATAGCTCTCAGTATTTTAAAAATAAAAAAGGGTAAGCTTTTTATATTCAACGGAAGGAAATACAAATTTCCCATACATTGCCGAAATGAGAAACATATCTCTTTCAATAAAACATTGAAAGGAATGTTATGTAGCAGGCTGCCTCGGTTCAATGGCTGTATATTACCATAACTTGGCCCGAATCTTATCCCATTTCATACAGCGTTATAGTCCGTGAAGGATTACCGCTAGAAACGATTTAGTATTCCATGGTAAGGAAAAATAAAAGAAAAAAAACATGTTTCCTTTTTGTATAGCTTTATGAATCTTGACTCGATTTGCGTTCCGGTCGCAAAAATCCAATTTTGTTATGCAACATTTAAGAAATGCAACAGTCGCTTGTAATGGGAATGTTGAAAGTTTTATGGCTACTTTCGACTTTCTGTGTACAGCGGCGTTAAGAATGAATGGAATAACAGCGAGCGATGTGAGAGGGAGAAAACATACTGCAGTAAAAACACTAGTAACGTCATTTAGGCGTACAAAAGTAAGATTTAAGATCGTGTGTTGTCAGAAAAAGGGGTTATTAGGTAAGAAATGGTTATATTATATTTTCGTTTCTGGGCTTATTGGTATTCGAATCTTACGTCTTTAATTTATTTCTAATGAAACAGGCGAAAAAAAGTCTACCCTTCTATTGTAAATGCTCTAATTCTCTATCGATTACACAAATGGACACACATATACCGGTTGATTCAAAATAAGTGTGACCAATTTTAAAAGCATATAACTATGAATGGTAAATTTTTATCGCTTTGCTGCCAGTGTTATATTTTAAAATTTAAACCTTTAGATTATCAATCTAACTATTTTTATTAGTGGGAGTAAATTATGGCTCCGAAATTTGATCCTCAAACCCGAATCGAAGATTACCAATCTAACAATTTTTGTTAGTGGGAGTAAATTATGGCTCCGAAATTAGATCTTCAAACCTGAAACGAAATTTTAAAGCTTTTGAAGGATGTTTGGTCAAATTCTGTTACAAATAAAGCATTTAAAAATCAGAAAAGACATTTTTCTAATGGATTACTGTCCAAACTTCGAAAAGAAATAAAATTTGACTGGCAATTGAAAGCTCCCGGGAAAAAATGCGAACGAAAGGAATTCCTTCAGGAAAAAGAAAAAAAGAAGATTTATTGCTGTAGAGAATCCTCTTCCTCAAAGAACTTCAGCAAAGAAACTATAGGCATCACAATCGACAATTTGTCATCAGATAAAAAAATTGGTTATAAAAAAGTGAATAAACCAGTCTGTGTGTGTGTCGTCAAATGTCTACAAATACCGCAGAGAAATGAAGTAAACGTTCTTGGTCTTTGTATTTAATATTGCGCAAAGGTAGATACAAAGCATGGATAACTTTGAATGAAGCCCTGTTTTATATATCATTCGCAATTGGGCAAAATGTAAATATAATATATTTAACGTAAAAGGCGTCGCAAGTTGCTTTGCAAAAGGCAAGTTCTCCGTCAGATGTTATGGTATGGATGGGAATGTCCTCTCAATTCTTAACAAAACCATTTTTTGGTAGAACCAAAGGTTAAAATTGATGCTAAATGCTATAAGAATAAAGTTTTGAAACACTTCATAAAAAAAAAGTAAGCGTTTCTACCCTCAAGGAAACTTTGTTTTTGCATTAAGATTCTGCCATGTCATACTGCAAAATCAACTACATAATAGCTGAAAGATCAAAAAATAAATTTTCTGCCTCCTGAGAAATGACTACCACCATCCCCTGACTGAATTCATTCCGATTATTTTTTTTTGGGGATACTTAAAAAACAATTAAACAGGTGTAAAGTAAAAACTCTCCAAGGATTTCAAAAAGCAATCAAAGAGGAAGGTGGAAAAATACCCCCCAAAATGGTCAAAAGGCCTTTTTGGCTTCGCGAAAACGTTTATGCAAAATGTACTATGCCAAAGGAAACCACGTTAAAAATTTCATGTAAATAACTTAATTCGAAAAAAAAAATTAGAATGCTCTGAAATTGGTCACACTATTTTTGAATCAACAGGTATAAGTTAAAAATACTTTTACTGGAGTTTTAATTTTTTAGTCACATAAATAATTCCCCCTCTCCCCTCTTTTATCGATTTTAATGGACTAATGCATATCTATATCAAAAACATATTTTTGATTCTTACTGTTCTTTGACCTAACTTTGCACTTGTTTATAACTTTTTAAATATTTGAACGCTTTAGTACGGCGGTCACCAATTTTTAGAACTTCATAGACCACTTAATATATAATTTTTATATTTGGCGGACCACTAATAGGATTGATCAGTATCAGTATATGAGAGACCTAGACCAGAATGATCGGTAGACCAGTAGTCCGTGGATGACCACTTAGAGACCGTTGCTTTAGTGCAGGGGTGTCCAACACAAATGACCTTGCAGGCCAGTTCGGAAAAACATTATAATCTCGCGGACCGCACATAAAAATATGTACCTTTATATCAGATTTGGAAACAAAAAACACTTATTGGAGTGAAAATTTAAAACAAAATGAATTATTATTATTATTTTCATTATTTTTCATGTATACAGACATAGATAATACAAAAATGTTTATATAATATAATAATGCAGTGATCAAATAATGTTTAAAATATTACAGTGAGTGTGTTGCCATTTTCTTGAAAATTATGGTGTTCCTATTGAATTGATCTTTCGTTACTCATTGTTGAAATTTGATAGTGCTGTCATTCACAAACGATTAAGTATACATTGCCCTTTATCTTAACCGTCCAGAATATTTTTTTACACTTGAAAAAACGTCTCTGTGATTGCCTCTTGCTTTTTGGGCACACCAAACAGAAAAAGAGGAGGAGAAGAAATGAAAGTCACACACACAGAGAATCGTATACCATCCATAGAAAAGGATATGCATAATGCAATATGGAATTTATTAAAAAAGTAAGTTATTACAGTAAAATCAAATGTAACTGTTTGATAAATTATAAATCTATTTTAATCTAAAGGACATTTCTACTGTCAAAAAGGATTTATTTAAAAAGAATAGGTAAAAGGCAAACACATTATATATATATATATATATATATATAAATTTCCTTATAATTCAATTTCCTTCAAAATCAAAAAAAAACGTTAAAAATCTGATATTTAAATTTTTTTAAAAAAGAGTAGGTGGGCCGCAAAGTATATACGTACTGGCGGGCCACATGCGGCCCGCGGGGCGCGTGTTGGACACCCTTGCTCTAGTGGAAGTAGTATTAAACGCATTTTCTAATTGGACGTTACTATCAGCGCCCCTTTTCTATGTATACACTCATGGACAGAAAAATTAGCGCACCAAGAAACAATTGCTGGGGGCGGAGCGAAGCTTGGCATGAAGGTACATGATGGGGAGATATGCAAATGATTAGAAATGCAGCGTGATTGCGCTTTTCGTATAGCTGGTAGAGGGCGTTTAACGTCGTTCTCCGTGGAGTATAAAGCAGGTAACCAAAGCTTGTTTGAGTGTGCTGAATCATTTTCAAAGGAAGAGCTGAGGTAGATATACCATTACACCGTTTTTGAAGACAATATGAGCAGCTGCCGCAGTTTGAGAGAAAGAGAATAATCGGAATGATGGAAGCTGTGTGGTCAGCAAGGCGAGAAGCTCGTAAATTAGGCCGTGTTGGGGAGTGGATCCGTGTTGAGGATGTGTTGGGACCAGTGGATCCGAGAGATGTCATTTACACGAAGACCAGGCTCAGGACGCTCTCGACAAACCAGTCATCAAGAAGAACGCCACATCGTAAGAAATGCACGCGTACAGCCGGTTGCTTTATCAGCCGCCATCCAGACACAGGTAGCACCTTCACTAGGGGATCCTGTGTCTTCTCGAACCTTTCGAAGGAACATGATTGAAGAATATTTGGGATCACGGCATCCATTACGTATGCGGCCCTCAACGCCCACCCATCGATTCCTCCATTAGGAGTGGCGCCACATGCGAGGAGACTAGACTGCAGCGGAATAAAACCAGGTCGTCTGTATCGACGAATCCAGATACAATTTCAGCAGTGATGACAATCGTGTTCGTGTGTGGAGACACCGTGGGGAACGCCTCAATCTGCCTTTGCTTTACAGCAGCACTCCGCTCCCACAGTTGGTGGGATGGTAATGGGTGCCATTGCCTACAATACACGGTTATCCGTAGTATTGATCCGTAGCACCATGACAGCCCAGCAGTATGCCCATGACATCCTACAACCACATGTGTTGCCACTCATGCAACGGCTCCCAGGAGCCATTTTTAAACAAAATGCTCGGCCTCACACAGCAAGGATGTCACAAGACTGTCTCCGCACTGTCTCCGCACTGTTACTACCCATTCTTGGCCTGCCCGATCCCCAGATTTGTCTCCAATCGAGCATATCTGGGATCATTTGGGACGGCGAACAGGGCACCCCTCAAGTTGGAACGAACAAGAGGCAAGGTTACAACAAAT